TATTTGTCCTTCAAGGTAATGGTAATCCTAATAATCCCGCATAGAGAGGAAGGAAAGGGACGTTTGAAGGGAGAGAAGAGAAAAGGAGTGGAGGCGTTGAATGAAAAGAGGCGAAATGGTTGTAGGGGATTTAAACTGCCTCACAACTGCCCCGACCTAACTTAGGATCAATCTCAAGGAGCAGATCAAGCAATTGAATACCTTGCTCGTGTCACCAATCTAAGCGAGAGTCTGACCTCATAACTGCATATCTGATGTCGCAGCGACTATGAAATCTCCTATTAAATGAATTCTCAAACATGCATACTTGTTCCTATTTGACTTACTGCGCACATCCTTGTGCAGTTAAGCAAAGTAAAAATTGAGCTTATCTTAAAACCCGAGATCAAAGCTTCGATTTCGACAACTGTTAAAAACTTTATTATGATCTTTTTCAAAATATATTCAAGAGGTTCTCATTTCAGGTGTTTATGGCCATGATATGCTATAGCCAGAACTTCTACGTAACTTTTTGGAGAAGCATAGACTACAGGAGACATCTGTGGCATCAACACCGGAGACTGCACAACGCTCTTTGCGGAAAATGTTGCCCTATTACGCACGCCAAGAATATATCCATGACTAGATTTAAAGGCGAGCATTCTGCTACGAGACCTTAAGAAGTAAGTAGATAGATCATGAGATAAGATCGCTGTGATTATCCGCAAAAGTGTATAGAGTCTGAACCATTACCTGAACTACTAGAAACCAATCCTCCATTATACCGATAAGGTTTTTCATGGCGCAAATCTAGCTCTGACTCCACTTATCTTCACTAAACAGATCGTGAATATTCAAATAAATTAACATCCTTGAAGATGAAAGTGATTGCAAATATATCCATATGAAAAACGGCTTTCGCCCCATATTGCTCACTTCAAACTAACTTTTAGCATAAATTTACATAAGAAAGATCTGAAATGAGGACAACTATTAGATTCAGAGGAACTGGAGTAAGGAACCTAAGTGTGAATATAAATCATTAAAAGAAAAAACCAAAGTTTATGGTTTATTAATCTTGTTGAATATGTACATACTGAAAACGATATCAATGCTAAAAAGCGAAAAAAATAACAGAACAGATTTGATCTAATGCAACTATAGAAAGGTAACAAGTATTTCACGAGAAACTATGCAACCTTACGACGTTACAGATTAAAAAACCGGCAGTTACAGTAATTTGGCTGCAAATTCAGTAAGAATGTCCCATTCCATCAGTAGCGTCACCATGATCTAAGTCGCCTACAACCTCTTGTTCCCCTCTGACTGGTCCGCCTTCTTCCTCAATTATTTCATCGACGTAATCCACCTCAATGTACTCTCCTACTGGATCTTCTTCTTCCTAAATAAACAACCTTAGTCAGTTCAAAAAACGCTATCATGAAAGTGTTTGAAAGCGTGAAAATGAACAAAACATACTCCTTCAATAACATAACGATCATTAATTTCCGCCAGTTCGCCGTTACTCATACGAACCTACAATTTTCAGTTTAAAATTATAATTAAACACGTAAGAAAACAAAGTCTGTCTTTGAAAAACCAAAAACCCAACAGAAGTCTTTGGATCAAGTGGTAAATAAGAGCTAAAAGCAACGTACAAATCTCTGTTGGCCTTCTGAATGATCCACATCCATGACCTTCATTGGCATCGACATTTGTGGATGTTGTAACGGCTCGAGGTGATGCTGCAGGTGCTCATACTGATGCCGAGGATGTGACACGTACTTCAATGCCGGCACTAAGGAGTGTGGAGAAGACATGGTAGAGAATGTCTGCGACGCGAAGTCTCGCATGACCCTATTTCAGATTGATATTAACAATATCCTGAAATGAATGGACTTCAACCATACTTCGTTCTAGTTGCAAATTCAGGAACTTTCATGCGCATCCGTTTGAACTTTTGTAAGTGCATGAATGCCGCTTTCTCAATAGCTGCAGCGCGCTCTGCGGTGAAATTTGGCTAAAACGGAGTTATCAAAGAGGAAATATATTGGCCCGACTTGAGTAATCTTCACTTACACCTTCCCGTACAGCCATAAAGAGAGCACAGAAAGCGTCCTCAAGTTGCTTCTCTTTGTCATCGTGGTATTCTCGCAATAACTAAGAATGGTAGTTACCTCACGGCCAAGATAAAAAGGAGGAAAACAATTTCGAAAGTGTTTAAAAACTTCGAAAAAATGATGATAACGGGCGTGAAGGAGTTAGATTAAATAAATGATAGATCGGAATTATAAAACAATACCATTGATAATAACTGAGCGGTGCAGCACAACCTCGTAAGATTAACATAAAGAATTACCGTTACGGTTTTCCCATGATGCTGAGAGCGAACATGACTCAATCCCTCTTCTTCTGTATAAAAATACTCTTTCATGCAGTACATACAACGATATGGACGATATCTATAAACGAGAAGTCAGGGAAGTAAGCATAATAAAGAATAAAATAAAATGCTGCTGAAAATCAAACAAACTGAATCTTCAAAAACTCACTTTAAATGGACAGCCATTATATGGTATTCGTAGCCTTGCCACGTCTTCAACACCGAATGGCAGAGGTAGCAGTAGGGCACCCCATCGTCATCTACAGAAAATAAGGGAATAACGTGAGAAGCACACAGCCTCTCTCTCTTTTTCTCTCTCTGCGCAAACCTCGCAGTATATCTTCACGTGGATTCTCCGGGGCTATGTCATCAAGTTTCATCGGATGTGCTTCCAACGACATGGGGATAGGAAATTCAACTCCAGACTTAAGAAAACCTCGTTATTTATGGAAAAGGTGATTTGAAGCAATTCTCATATACAAAATAAAAATTTAATTAAAAAAGAAATAACCTTTTAAACTAAACGTATGGGAAGTAGCAGCATTGCTGAAACTTACCGAATGAACAACAATCGGCCTTCGCGATAGTCGAGCTTGCTCAGTCATACTCAGCGGATTTTCCTCACGAGGCACAGAAACACGACGAGGTAACTGATCAGGTGGAAGAATATATTGTGCTCGAACTAGCTCACCCGTTGAAAGAGAGTACTCTAGATTTCACGATAATAACCAAAGCAAAATCACATTGCACCTAACAGCTCACTTGGCCTCTTCGCAGCTCGTCGACGTGGAGGAGGTGCTAATGGAAGATCCATTCTAGAGCAGCCGATGTCCAAAGCCTCTACCGACTGAGATGCATCAATAGATGTAGAAGGCGGTCCATTCCCGCGTGCCATTCGTCGTGTAACCATCCCACCACTTGGCAGGACTGCAACTTCTTTCTCTTCAGAAACAGATGTATGCTCAGGCAGGACCAATGGCGATCTCTCTCCTTGAGAAGTGGATGCTGTAGGCTCATCCACACTCGCAATGCAGTTGGCGTTCTCCACAGTTACTTCATTTCCATCGTGCATCTCAACAGAGCTGCCACGAATTTCTGTGTTGACAGAGCCTTCAGATAATGACTCGTCGCAGTTAAGCTTATCGCTTGATTTTGGTCGATTAACGTCCACAACGGAGAGGGCTGGAACATTGTTAGCAGTAGTTGTGAGCTCTACAGGAGCCGCTCTCGCTGCGACTGACGAAAGGGTGGCAGCCAGACGAGAACCGCTGGGAACAGCGATTAAAGTACGACCACCCTGCTGCATAACGCGCATACCTTGTCCTGCACCGACTACCGTCCGGATAGGTGCCGCTCGAACACTGCCTGATGCTCCAGACGACAACAATCCAGAGCTTACCACGCGGCCAGGATGTGATGCACCAGTTCCCAAAACGGTGCGAACATGATGGGTAGGGGAACGCACTCCAGAAGCTCCTGCCGATGACCCACGAACAACTCGAACACCCGGAGGGAGACGATGTAATTGCACAGCTTCCCGAGAATGGTTTATTGTGGACATAATCCGAATTGGTGTTGAAGCACCCAGAGATCTTGCAGCAGACGGTGTTTCTCCCATGTCAGGTTTCACCAAATTCTCCTGTACTTCACCATTACTGATAGTTGTGGTGGGCGAGCCTAAACTGATTGTTCTTATTTCTCAAGTATTGTGTGAGTATCCGAGCCTGAATAAGGATCTTGTCTGTATAATGAGTGACTGAATAAAAAAAGCAGCGACTAAATTTTTTTGAAAAATAATGAGAAGATGTTCTAGGATCAAGAGATTCGACAAGAGAAAATCGTTTCACGCGGAAGAAATGACTCTGTATATTGTTGTGAAAATCTCCATGCTTACATAAAGTATATAATGACTTACCAAGAAATTTCTAGACTAAAATCATCCTCTGCATACTGCCCCATTCAAAAACCCTGGTCAGGAGCTTTCAGATTTCAACGGCCACGAAGTATATGATAGGTACTAACATAAGATATGAATGCAACATGAAAACTTGGAGATTTCCAATTAAAATAACCCCCATATAAAACCATAAAAATCAATTATGGAGCGTAACCATTTGCATATCTTCGTTTTGAATGCTACTTTCTGCGGTAAAATCGAAATGAGTATTATGAGGCTCATCAAACAAGAAAGAAATTCTGAGCGTGATGTATAGGAAACTGATTTTAAACTGCAGAAAAATGCCATTGAGAAGAAAAATTTTCGCAAACTGCTGCAATAATCAAAATTAAGGAAAAGAAAGTGGATCGATTTTAGTGTCTTAAGAGTGAAGTTACATGTATAAGCGTTCATTGGGCCTTGAAAAGATTAAATTGACCGCCTAAGATTATTGTTCACGATTCAAATCTTAGCATATGACCATTGTAAGATGTTACAAGATGCAGGAATTTTTATCATAAATTTTTTAGATAAGCTTTTTGGAGATGGTAGGTGAAACGCTCGATATAAAGAGTACAACCATCAAAAAACTTATTAGAAATTGTGGTGCCTCAGAGTATTAATTCCGAAAGCAAATAACTATGCATACCTTCGGTGTAAGTTCAATTACTCAATAATTGGCTTTTAAGACATACCTACATTAAGGCAAATTCAAACAGCTTTAGCTTACAGTTCTTTTTCAGCGTAACTTGTTCTGAGTGAAAACACAAACTAAAGTTAGAAGAGCAGAAGGGACCAAATATAATGGAAGCAAAGTAACTTAAGAGGAGAATTGCTCCCAACATAGCCTTCAGTGATAATCTACTTGAATACGTCAATCAGATAAAGCCACTCACATTCCGCAGAAGTCGGATTGGACGATGAATGAACATCCATCACATTTGAGGTTCCCGATGTCTAAATTCAAATTTGGATTACAATCTTTGCAATATAACAAGTTACGTACTGCCCTCGACTATCTGTTGCTAGCCGAAGCCGGAAGAGATGGCGTCTGCGCAAGAATAGCCGTTGAAATTGAAGAACAGTGCTTAAAAAGTTCTCCATAAATGTTAGGTATGATTTGCACCTGAAGCCCAACCCTACCTAGATACATCTAAAAATGCTGTGTAAAACGCAGACCAGTAATTCAACTAAGAAGTTTGAGCTCTAACTCGAGTACCAGCTACAATCCTAACATCGTTCCGATAGAGTATAAGATAGAAATGGTTCGTACCTGGATAATTCGGCTACTGTACAGCTGAGTCTACTGGCGACTGAGCTCCCGAGTTGAAAATGGAACGCGTCGCGCTGCCGTTCCAGTTTCGATTTGTAATAGAGCGCATTTTTCCCACCGTGCCTATGAGCTAGAATCCAAGTCACAAGATGCGAATTTCGAGTGTTGTTTCTAAGGGTTGGGCTGTGGCTCTTTTAAAGGTAAAGAGAAACTAGAAGAGCATTGTGTGAACATAGTAGAAATAAGGTTATTGACATTGATTTTCTGTCTGCGGATGCGCGACGCACTTTTCATTCCACATCATTGAGGCATTTGCCAGTGCAGTGACCTGTGCAGCCGATGTTCAAGTCCGACCCCCGAAGGATGGAACGCCTGATTTACCTCATAATCTATTTGGTTAGTATCTCTTGTCACTATATACTTACCTCTCCATGGATGGGATACTTGGTAAATAGGAGCATAGTGGTTAATCGTGAGACTAACTGCACGCTAGATAAAAAAATGTGGGAAAGATGAGGAGTTTACTAATTTACAAAATGTTTGCTACGGAAATTCAATAGGTTAGAAGCATGCGACTGGATCAATTCAGTATCACTTTCTAGGCACCAAGTTGAACTGAATCGGTGTTTAGGAAAGTTTACTTCCATACGATGACGGCCAATACTATATGTTTCAGCTTTATTAGGGTGCTTTGAAATAATCACTCTCAAAAACCGCATTTATTTGTTTGCATAATCATCAGCCAGTCTCAATTCTTTCTCACGTACACCGGACTTTCTTTTTTTTTCTGAACACATTGTACTTTTATTAAAGATGCGTATCAGACCTAACCGTGTTTTAAAAGTGGGGGTAGCTTGCATGTCCCACTGCCCAGCTAGTTCAATTCAACGCTAACGGTTTTCTTAATCTTAGATTCAAATTCTTCGCAAGGGACAAATTTTCCTAGTTTCCAAATAGAGGTAATGTTTTAAAATTTAGGCTTCGGCTTTCGGCTGTCATACTCTTAGTCAGTTAAGATACATTTCATTAACATTCAGCAACCAAAAAAATATACAGGGAATCAACGAAAATATAAAGCTATGGATAGCGTTTCAATCGTCACATTCGCAGTAGATTGTGAGCGTAGTATTCCTGTTTCCCACTCTGAGCACAAACTGCAAACTGCAGAGAGGAAGAAGCAAAATCAGTGAGATTAATTGATGACCTTAGGACCATTTCATTTTCGTAAACAAAATCTTAGCGCATCCACGGCAGCATTCCAAAGCGAAAAGTGCGAAATATCAATAATTAGATGAAATCGATCAATATTTCCTCAGGTATGACCTATTTTATCGGCTTTGTTAAGGTTTATGTGTGCAAAAATTTAAAGTCCGTTCAAAATTAATAAATTTTTACTCAGAATATACACACAAAGACAGATTGTGCTTTATATAGTCAATGTCCAACATAAGAGCAGTTGTCTTTGTAGGCAGGGATGTAGAAGAGTGGGAGGTGTTGTGGCGTTTTCTAAATCTCATCTTTTTCAGGAACAAGGTGTCAGGAGACGGATTCAGCAGATGTCTGATCGCGTGGTTGGTCAGTTTACTTATTAGTCTCTCGGCTTGATGTCTATTATTTGCAATTTATTTTCGTAGAACTATTTCCTATCTTTAGTTGCTGTTTATTTTTTCCGTATTGTTCTGTACTAATAAATTTGTCTTTGTCTATGCAACATTTTCTTGTAGCTCACATAAGTCCAATTTGCATGCTATGCCTAATTATTTTTGTTGGTTTCTTGTCATATGTACAGTTTGCAAGGCCATATAAGATTTCCATGCCAGCTGCATAGAGTCTTGCTAAACCCGTTATGTCCCTTTCAAATTATTCAAATGTATCATGTTTGTGATGCTCAATTCGGTAGGCTGGGTTCGCTTCTTCCCTGCGAAAAAGTACATAATTACGGCGAGATTGAAATTCGAAGATTGACGATAAGAAGCCGACGTCAACTCAGCGACATATTCGCTCATAGGAAAGGCATAGACATCTGCTGTAATGGTTTTCTGACATGTTTACCTGAAAACAAGAAGGAATTTCTCTTTAAATTGTTAAAAACTCTTAAAAACTCACTTCCTATCTTCCACGCCCAAAGAAATAGCTGATTTTTTACCGCGATCGAACTAGACCCGGCTGCGCCCCTCTGCTTGTAGGACTTTTTATTACGTCTTAGGAATCTCTACATAGTTGGCGTCAAATTTCTAACCATCTGGGTGACTACATGAAGATGAGGGTTTTTGCCCGTTTCTTTCTTCAACATTTAGTATAAATTCTATCCTTAAATTAAAGATGCTTGAAACGCACCGTTGATGAACAGATGAGTTGCTATTTTTGGCAAACACAAAAACCGCATTGGAAGAAAACTTTTCAAATCAGCATACTGTATACTTATGAACGCATGTACGAGGTGAGAAAAGTATAGAAATTGGATAATGTCATTATTAACAAGTTACTTGCACAAAATCTCCTCTGTGTTTATCTTAGAAAAACATAGATTTTCGAGCACGTAAACCCCATCACTCACTCCATCGCCATCGAGCCTTTAAACGATATTTTAAAGATAAACCCCACTAGTACCAAAACACAAAAAAAACAAGCAAAAACTCTTATTTGCACGTGTTTAATAGTGGTCGCTTGGCGCGCTCT